CCCACACGAAGTCCCCAGGCAAGATTCAAACCCTGGACCTTCTAGCTGTGAGGCGGCAGTGCTAACCACTGCACCCAAATAAAAATCCTACATTTAAACTGTACTTAGTCATTAAAGTTAAAGTACTCTTTGCAGAAAAGTCTTCCCTGTGACTATTACTATACTATTTATTATTATATCTCTATAAGCAGGATTTTATAGTTGAGTTCTTTTAAAACTATTTTGTGTAAGACTTCAAGTCATGTTTTTGATTATGGATGAATCTGCAAATATAGTTTTTTCCTTTAAACAACTGATCGTTTGGATTGCTGTCACAAGTGCTTTAAATGGTTTTCAAAATATTTTTTTGAAAGCTAAGTGTTTAATTGAGCAATGGTTTCATGTGTAGTCGTGTAGAATGTCAGGTAGTTTAATTATAACAAAATATATTTTATAAGCTTATTATTTGTTAAATTATTGTTTGGTAACAAGTAATGATGTCAGATAAATGTAATGGAACAAAAAGTACAATATTTTTCCCTGAAATGTAGTGGAGTGGAAGTAAAAAAGTGCAGTGAAAAGAAAAGACTCATGCAAAGGACAGTACTTATATGTACTTAGTTGTATTCCACCAGCGTCATGTTAGATTTAGTGCATGCCACTCAGTTGGCTGTTGTCTGACATATAATATATAAAAGGCACAACCTGCGGCTCCAGTTCAGGATTAATACAGGATAAGGACATCATCTTGCAGGTGGTCCCTCCACAGTCTCTATCTGCTTCACTGTCTTATGGAAATCTGTCCCCTCATTTGTTAATATTTTGTAGGACAAGATACATTTACCCAGCTTGTCTCTTATCCTACCTGAAAAACATTCCCTTTATTGTGCAAACTGTTACTAAAAGGGTTTTCAGACATGTCTGTTGACAGAAACGAGCAGCTACCCAGTGAGACACAATACTGAACCTTCAGAGTAGAGTGTGCTTCTTAGAAAAACTTGCCTCTAATGAGCTCCTGCTGCTGCTGTTATTGCTACTGCTTATGTCGTCATTGTAGTTGTTTTTCCTGCTCTGACCTCCCTGACCTCGTCTCTCTGAACTGATCCCTCTGCTTCCTCCTCTCTGAGGTCCTGTCTGTTATGGGTCAGGTCCACTCTGAACAAAGGTCAGACCATGGTCCTGTTGATGACAGCAGCATACAGCAAGTTGCTCTAGTTGTTCTAAACCTAAGTCTTGGTACTAAAAGTCTACATGATAGGTGCAAAAAAAAATTGGCATTAGCTTGTCAGCTAATTTCAACATATGTGTATCTGATTTTGTGGTTGATTGTGTTGTTGCTATGACTTCTGGAAACAGGGATGTCGCCTCTCATGTTTTTACCATGAAGAACCCACTTTCAGTCTCTGGCCGTGAGCACACTTTATACAATTATTGTTTAAAATATAATGTTTCTTTGTGTCTTGAAAAAAATTCAGAAATACTTTTTTCAGTATAGAGTCATATAGACAGGAAGATACAGAAACTTCTAAGAGTGATGACATAAACACAGATTCTGAATTACTGTTACTGATCGAATATTATTTGTGATAAATACGAACAGACCAGTAACAATTTTAATCTGTGCTCTATTAGCTGTAGTACCAGCAGTGTAAAACGAACTTGGCAGGAAATCAGATCCAAACATAAAAATATATTTGTGTGTTTTTTGCATGTAAGTTCCCACTGCAGACCACCAATACGGTGTGTGATACTGTAACTGCATGGCTTCGTTCAGTAGGATTGGTAACATACAGATCAGCAGGTACGCAGAATAAATGAATTCTCTCAACTGAGAGTTTGTGTCACATAGAGAGAATCCGCAGG